ATGTGCATTGGCTCTGAAACACAGTTTTCGGTCTGACACCGACAGGAAGTTTGTAAGCCATCCAAGGACATTACCTACAATTCCGAGTGACTTTAGTTTCTTGGTGAGACGGCAGTGAGGAACTATATCGAAAGTCTTAGCAAAGTCGAGATATAAGACGTCTGTTGGATAAGCGTTTTCTGCGGAGGTAGTCCACTTGTCGAGCGGGATTGGGTTAGCATACCAATTTCTCCATGCCTTTAGTTTACATACAATACTGGTGAGACTCACAGTCCTAGTTCAGATTTAGTTCCCTTCTTGAATATAATTTACTGGGATCTATAGACACATCTAAGTAACAGGCGTTCGTCACACCAAACACCTTCGTTAAAATTGTTCTGATTAGGATTGGCCTTTAGACATTTCTTGGTGTATAATAACACCCTTCTCGTTTACAGCATAGTCCACCCGGGTCAGTCCGACAGCTTGTGTTGGCATTAAAGTATTTCTAGGTCCAAACTCCATAATACATATAAATGAAATGAAATGGGTTTAACGTCCTACTGTTCTGCTCCGACTGGGCTAATGAAGACGGCCGTAATACATATAACTTCGGGAACATTTTGCACTGCATACATACGAAGCTCTGTTTTTTTGTTCATATAAGGTGTGTCTTTGAGCGTTATCTGTATTTTATGTTTCTGGTTTTCTGTGTTTCGTTTGGAATACTTCGTAGCCTCTTATCTTCCAGATCAAATCTTCCTGTATTTTGCCTGACTCCTTTTCTTCTCACTCACTATCTTTACTAAATATTGCATCTGCTATCGCTCAAAAGGAGTTTTGTCTTCCCTGATGTTTATATCTTTGAACTCTCCATTGTGCACGATGCGATTAGTGGTTAGCGTTCCTAGTCAGTGTTTTCTTTTTTTTTTAGGGGGGGGGGAATCTGATAACATCATCTTGGTAAGTTAAAAATGGCAGTGCATAATTATAAACCTTCATTACCTGGACATGGCCGCCCTGTCTTATTATGTCTTACCTCTGGGATTTTCCGGCGTGGTTCCCCCTTGTCAGTGGTGCAGGGCAGAAGGCATAGCAAGAGACAATGTATAGTTTCTCGGATGGGACGAAAACCTGAGGTACCGTGTACACATTCGCGTGCAAGTAAAATAACCCTGGGCAGTTGGAATTCAGTATAAGAGTATGTCGTAGCGCCTCTGTCCGAGCAAAATTTCCCTCTTAGTACACTGTATGATGACATAATATGCCCGTCTTCATTGGCACAGTCGGGGCAGAACAGTGGAATGTTAAAATCCCATTTCATTGATCTTACATCTGGTTAGTCTCGACACAAGAAGACCATGGACAATCGCATTGTTCATTCAAGAGATTCTGTGTTTGGGCTTCTTGTTTTTGATACCTTCCTGTTTCTTCTGAGCTAGCTTCTCATTGTGGACCTTTAGTACTTCTATTGTTTTCTTCAGCTGGAAGTGGTCGTCTTCTATATGTTTATTGCTATTCTTGATACGGTTGAAACTCTACTCCGCGACATTAACCTTGCTGGAGCTGTTCGTGAGCAATAGTTAGTCCCTTGACCTTTTCGTTCACTGCCTCAATGCTCAATGCACAGCACGGGCAATACTAGCCAGCTAACATGGTATCTGGTGTAGTGTTTCTGTAACACCACCACTTACTCACTGGATTCATCGATTACACACATACATGTACACACTACATTGTGGTTTTGTTTTATCTGTTCTTTTACATTCTGCGCAGACGGGCAGTACAATGGGTTCTACTTGATCATCAGCATCCTGATGTGCCTTACTTCGTGATGTATTTCTTGCGGCTGTATGAATATCTTCATCGGATGATCCATTTTTACCTTGTTTACCTGTGCGCGTTTTGCCAGAAGACGTTAATCATATCTGCGATTGCGACTTTCATAAACTTCCACGTAGTTTTTCAAGTGACGGTTGGTGAAAATGAGGAGGATGGTCACCGAAGGAAATGCAGAGCATTAAAGGATAATACAACCAAGGCGTATGTTTCTGTTCTATTCTTGTCAGTAGACTACCGATATGTAACTATGTAACTTATCGTAAAATTCCATACCCGGAAACACATACTGTTATAACGAATTAATAACTGAGCATATTGCTGCTCTCTAGAAATTCCTTACATTATAATTCAATATTGATATAATCAATACGTGACATGAAAACGTTTTGTGGGTTTAGCAATTTATATTTGCTATGCACAGCAATCCAGTTTACTGCTTTGATCGAGCGGGTGGTACTTGAAAATACTTGATTTGTATATGTATTTTATTATATTCTTTTTAATAAATATAATGCTACACGACCGCCAATAAATATCTGATTTGCTATTCCCCATACCCCTTCGCATGCTATTAGGCTTGGGCTCAAGGGGGGTTGTGTGTGTGGGGGGGGGGCAGCAAAATCCTGGTACAATAAACAGGGAGTGTTTTTAAAGGGACTATCCCGATTAGAACAGAGTCTCAAAAATTAAAATCCGAGTACGTATGAAATTTAAGCACCAAAATATATAGGAATGGTGTATTGACCTTGCCTCAAAATTTCAGCTCAAAATATTGAGTCGGTTGGATGTGAACGTCAAAACTGCTTATCCGGACACGTAACCCTTTTAAGATTTCGGGTAAATTTTTTCGTTGGATGGCCTGATAATCGATCCCCGTTTCTTGAGAGGTCTATACAGTAAATGACCCATGTGCTGTACTTGATAGCGGACGGTAAATGTCACCTACATATTATTTGTATTTAAAAAAAGGTCTGGTTTTATCCAGACGCCGTATAGTACAGTTTGGGACACTGGTCTCCATTTCCAGATGAAGACTGACGGGTTTAAGTTGTTTGAAAACGTATCACAAATATTGAGTTACTTGCTCGGTCCGTAGGTAGAGGGTTTTAAGGCATTTTAACACCAAATTAATATGTTTTATTCTCCAAAAAATTATCGGGATTGGCCCTTTAAGCTGTTTTTAAGCGAGAATACTATTTTAGGTCAGTTGCCAACAATTTATAGTATACGAATCCCCAGCAAACATATCTCCCAGACCTGTATTTTGCAACGTTCTCCATTTTACCTTCTAGCAGTTCCGGGTGGACAATAGGGCCTAGTACCCCCCCCCCCCCCACCAACACGGGTGGACAATAGGGCCTAGTACCCCCCCCCCACCAACAAATTTCAGTCGCGTAGGATCCAAGCCCCTCCATGATTTCTCTCAATCATCAATAAAGGACTGGTTGCATCCTTAAATACAGTGTATGATTGGGTCCCTGCAGGTCCGAGGCCCCAGGACCCTCACTCACAGGGTAATCCGGTCATGACCGTGATCAGTCCCTGATAAATAAAGTTCCCAACATTCTGGCTTCTATAGTGACTAATGTGGAAGACAATTTCACAACAATGAGATACTCTCTGCATTTTGTACCCTTATCCTTTCAATTTCCCGGTCGCCAGTCATTTTTGTCAAGATATGGAAACGCTCGAATACAGACAAGATAAGAACAATTTAGTCAATATCTCATAGAAGATATCATCCGTGAATGCCCATTCGAAGATGTGTACATCCTAGTTGTATTTCGCCGGTACAGATCGGGCGCGTTTTGCCGGTCTCCAGTGTAGAATGTGAAAGGGGTTTTTCAAAACAAAATTTAATCAAAAGAAAGAAAAAAAAAAACAGTACACACTGTATCAGCTTTAACGGATCTCCTTCGAAGAAGCAGTTATTAAGGAATTCAACCCAAATGTCATTTTTTTTTTAAATCGACGGTTGTCTCTAGGGCCTACGAAGGAGAAACATTTTTTAAAAAAAAGATTGATGCATGGTTGCTTCTGGCGTTGTTATATCTTATTTTAAATGATGAACAAATAGTGCCGATGAAACTTACCAAAAATAAAAGTTAAGAAATTACTTTAATGTTAATTCTCGTCCTTTTGACCGGCTCAATTTTCGTGGGTAACCAGGGTTGGAATTAATAGTGAGCTGTGTCATATTCAAACGTTTGACAGAATGAAGACAAGAGTTATGTCCCCTTTATTGGTCAGTTATAAATATATCAAACATGTAAAGTTTTGAATCAGTATCCCCGCTGTAATGAAGTTCTTATTATGATGTCCGTTGGGTGTTGTTGGTTTTCTTGTTTCGATAAATGACCAGCCTATAATCATGCCTAACAACATCAAATTTCAGTCGCAGCATTGCCCAGCAATGTCCAGTCAAATCAGTGGTACGTGCATTCTCATTGCGTATGTAAAAGTCAATTATCTAATAAAAATATTGAAGGGAGTCGACCATCTCGATATTTTTATTTGTCCGGTTAAAAGAATTCATAAGTTGTGACGTCATTTTAACAGGCGATTTTTCTAATTAATTCTCGATACCATTCACCTCAAAATAATGAATATTCACAAAAACTTGACAAAAAGTGTAAATTTAAACACTCGTATTTTGATTCTAGATAAAATAAAAGGCTCAACGAAAATTACAATGCAAAGGGAGACATAGATGAACTATATTTTGCCATATTCGAAACAGTGGCTCAGTAAGTAAGACGCTGAGTCGCTCATCAGGAGGCCTCGGGTTCTCTCCCGGTGTTGGCAGAAAGGGTTCCTCGGGATTTTTCGGCGTAGTTTCCCCTTGTCTGTGGTGCAGGGCGGGGGCCTGACAGGAACAGAGTCTAGTCTAGTGCTTCGGATGATAATAGGAAAACCGAGGTCACGTGTAGGACTCCATATTAACGTGCACGTAAAAGAACCGTTAAGTCGAAGCAGCTAGAGTAGGCTAATCCGTAGTACTGCTGTTCGGACAAAATGCATCTAATAGCATACTGAATGGCGTATGCCCGTCTTCATTATACCCGTCAGTGCAGAAAAGTAGGACGTATTAAACCCCGATTTCAATATTGGAAACAATTCATTAATGGTCTTTACCCGGATTTTTTTTTAAAATAGAGTTATCTCCCTTATATCGTACATCTTGCTCCACCCCACAACTTGCATCAAAAAGATACGACAGAGAGGGGGACTATGGTAAAAATCAATTTGTTTCACAGAGATATTGCGAAGGACTTCTTCTTATATTATCGACCTAGCAAATATTCACTGCTGATCAAAATAATAAGGGCAGGATATAGGAACACAAAGAAAACAATGGTTCCAGACAAGGACAAGCATTTTATTATGTGTGTGGAGACCAGGTACAGATATAATTTTAGAAAATATTACAAAACATACGCGAAAGCGATTATCCTCTCTGAACCAAAAGGGGAGGTCTCCTGTAAACATTGAGGTGTTAATGCACTAATTCTGCCTGTTTATGGATTTTTTAAGTGCATCATACTGTTATGTGCTTACTGGTTTCCTTCAAATGCGTTTTTATTTTTGTGTTGATGTCACCATGAAAAGGTAGGCTGCAATTAAAATCTAGTGCTACAAAATATTAAAGATGCCATCAGATTATTATTTATTACCGGTACGGTAGTCTACCCGATACCTCTCGTTTTCAGTCTAGCGTTAGGTTTTATTTTTTTATAATCTTTTTTTCTTATTACATCTGACATTACTTACATTTACTGGCATATTTTCTTTGCTGGTGGCTTCCGTATCTCGTGGACATTTTAGCCAATCATATTGCGTGTACTGGTATATAATGCTACATTTTGTGATGAATTATGCCAAGAGATTTTTTCAGTGTCAGTTCAGTTACAGTATCATAAGAAATGAAATGATATGGGGTTTAAAGTCCTACTGTTCTGTTCCAACCTGGGCTAATGAAGATGGGCATACGTCATACAGTGTGCTTTGAGGAAAATTTTGCTCGGACTTTGGCACTAAGGCCTACTCTTATATCAAATTCCAACTGTCAAGGGATCTTTTACATGCATGCCATTGTGTACACGGGACCTCGGTTTCTGTCCCATGCAAACTACTAGACAGCTGTCCGTGTCAGGCTGCATCACTGACAGGGAGGAACCACGCCGGAAAATCTGGATGAACTTTCTCGGCCAATGCAGGGATCGAACACCCGACCTCCATGCTAGCAAGCCAGCGTCTTTACCTCTTAGCCACCAGGACACCTGGTTGATCATAAGAGTTACTGGTGGTATACATTGCGAAAGAAAGTGGGTCTGTAATGTTTAAGAAGAAAAATATAACTATAACATGAATAACTTAACAAAAAAGAGAGAGAGAGAAATGGGGTTTAACGTCCACTCGACACAAACTAGGTCATTTTGGGACTAACATATGGTTTAATTTTATTTCAATAATTCGCTTGCGCATAGGGGTCTTTAGCAGTGGGAGGAAACCGGAGGACCCGGAGAAAACCCATGAGGTTGGACAGGCAACCCTACTCCTTGTCACGTACAACCGGGGATTCAAAACCGAAACCACGCCAGTTGACTCAATGACAGGCTTTATGATACAGCACGCAGTGCTAACCAATCGGCCATCCAACCCCCCACTTACCAAAAAACTTTTGTAGAAAGGCACACATAGTCACAGAGACATGCACCTTTTACTCTGTCAAGGGCATCTTTGGCCTCTAACTTTTCATGAAGAGACCAAAATAAAATTTCATAATGCTATCATTTTGAACATATTTTACTGTGAAACAACATTTACATTTTAAACTGAACTTTGATTATATATAATGAAAAATGATAAAAATTCTGATAAATAATCAATACATGAGGTAAAGCAAATACTCAATTAGTTTTATCAAAATCATACTTCTAATTTGTCTCTTCAGGATTTAGTTTCCAATCACCAAAATATAAAAAACAAATTAATTTCTTTCAAAAAAAGGGTGATAATTTGGAATTCTAACAGATTACGCATCCAAACCCTTTGGATACTATGACTTATCAAATGGTTACCAAATTGTTCAGTTTTATCATCGTATGCAAAATCTACTTTTACTAACATGTATCATAATCATGTGAACAGAAATATTTGATTAAGATGCAATACAGTAGATAACCTAAATAATTATATATCAGTAACCATTTAAAAGTTGTTTAGTTACTCTTAAAATGTTATGCATGTAGATTACAATAATTGAATTAAATAATAAAAATGTGTAGTATATCTTCAATACACTGTGTACAAAAAACACAGATTTTGTGGACATATATTCAATATGAATACAATTGTAATTACACATTACACAATTATATGTATATATACTAGACTAATACACACTAATCATCATAAATAAATACAACCATTTGGCAGTTCACAGTGTTATGTAATATAATATCCAACTACATGTATAACAATAAATTTCATGTTGTTCTGGACAATATTCATTACACTACTTTTATATACCTGTATTTGAACACTTTTTTGTATACAAAAAATACAGACTTTGTGGACAATTATTCAATATGAATAAATTTATTAGATCTATATCTAAATCTTTATATATAAGTAAAAATATTGAACTGAACATTATTTAATAACGGGGAAATCTATATGCCAGTTAAAATGACTAGATCTTTCTGATTTGGATAAACAGCAAAACTGTTGATTTCATTGTACCATACATTTATCTATTGCTAAAGCTAGTGTTGATTAAACTGCTTAATTTTGTGTAAAAAAAGCCGTAAAATCCTCTACCTTAGGGCCAAGCAACTAACTCAATATACGTGATATGTTTTCGAGTTTTCAAACAACTTATATCCTCCAGTCTTCATCTGGAAAAGGAGACCAATTTCCCAAGCTGTATTATACGGTGTCCCTTTAAGCAAAAGAATTGTGCATATTCTTTTGAAACAAAAGTTTAATCATATGACGATTTCCCCATCATTAAATACATGTTAAAAAAAATCAGTTCAACCCAATTCAATACTTTATTTTCATCTATGAGGTCAACTTTCTTAAAGATGCATAATTATGTGAGATTTAGATATAAAGAGCTGGTCATTCTTGCTATAATAGATTTTAAAAAACTGATAATGAAAAATGAATATATTGAAAATTTTATTCAAATTACGGGCTTGTCATTTGAATAAATCTCTAAATAATAGTTTATATAACATTTGAAGTCAAAATAAAGACATAGGCAATTTTAGCTCTTACACAATGCATCTTTAAAAGCTGACTATGCAACTAAACCTACCAGTATCACTATGCTTATTTTCACAACTTTATATCCTTCACTCTTACTAATATAGATATAGATATATTCTGGGTAGAACCTTGTTTCCATTACTTACTGGGTATACACATATACAGATTCTTTCACTAAATAAATGGCACATCAATGACCCTTTCTTAAGACTTTCCCAAAATAATCCTTGGCATTTATGAATTGCATAAATTTTGCAATCCAAATAATAATAAATAAAATTCACAATTTAAACAGAAAATGATCCATTACCTTATATAGGGTTTTGTTGATGAGGGCAATATTTCTCAATAGGGTTCATAAAAGTCACACAGTCCCAGGCAGTTTGAAAAAGACTCAAAAACTGGTCTAAAGTAAAGGTTTCAATGACAGGGCAGTAGCTCCTGTAGATCAATTATAAGAATAGATACCAGATGCAAATAACTGCACAAGGGTATCAAAATCTATATAAAACTTACCTGTGGATCAAAAGAAACTATAGCTAAATATTTCTTAGAAATAACTGATTCTGTCCCCAATTCAGATATTGACAAAGGTGCCAAAACACTGCCAATTAAGAGTACTAATATGCATTTGACTAATATGCATTTGAAAATAACTATAGTATATCACCCCTTTCCCATGATATTCTGAGGGTATAAGTTATAGTGAATAAGTGGTGAAAAGCTGAATTGAAGAAGTAAAATCAGCAGTAAGAGCAATTATCATGGTACTCATACATGTGTAACATCATGAATTGTACATGAATGATGACCTAGTTTGACAAAACACAGAGTAGATGGATATCTTTGCTTTCTATCCCTGTGTAATAAATTTGTGACAGACCACCTTATGTTGTGCAAGTCAAGTACAAATACATCGCAATTGGCAAAGGTACAGTCTCCCAAATATTCAGGACATACTGAAGAACATGTATCAAGCCACTTTTTCTTTTTGCAACATCCTAATAAATTGGAGTTCTCTCTTTTGATTATCAAATTATAATTTATACAAACAATAAAAAATATATTTAAGCAAGCCAACAGTGAGGCTGATGTCCCCCACTGAAATCCCAAAATCAATAGATGAAACATATTAATTAAAGGCACATTTATCTTTTTCAAAAGTATCGAGCAATCAAACTAATTATCTATACTTCGTCTAAGCATAAAAAGTTTGCAATCAAACTCAGTCAAGGTTTTGAAGTACTTCAGGGTAGTAAAACTATACACTACCTTTCATCACTCTGCATCAGTTAGAATCAAAGTTATCTTGTCCCAAAGCATTGACCAATAAAATTGCTTAGCTCTGCTTAGCTTTAGTGGGAAATGTTAATCATTGAATTCAGTCAAGACATTCATCTAATGAAGATCTACATCAAGTTTAAACATTCTACCTCAATTAAAAGCAGAGTTGTTATGTTCCAAAGTCTTGACCAAGTGCTTATCATTACTTAGCCTAAGCAGAAAATGCTCATTATCTAACTCTGTCAAGGTATTGATGTAATGAAACTCTCAGTTAATTAGAACTCAAGTTATAGTGTCCCAAAGCATCAATCAAATTGCTTATCTCTGCTTACTCCATCTTCGAACTCCATGAACACCAACACCAAGTTTGAACATTCTAGCTCAGTTAGAAGCAGAGATATCATGTCACAAAAAGTGTGACAAAAAGTGTGACAAACAGTCGACAGACAGACATACAGGGATTTTTTTACAAGGTCTAAAATGTAAGCTTTTGAAGATGAATTATGTAAGATTTAGATAAAGAGTTGACCCTTCTTGCTATAATAGTTCCAAAATAGGTCATTCAAAATTAATATATCAAGATATCACTGTTTGAAGTTGTGACAAGATGTTGCAAATATTGTTTATTACTGTAGCAACATTACTTGTTAATCAAGACCCAGCCTTGCTTCTCCATTTTAAATTAAATTATTAAATTGTTTAATGGGTTTAAATCTCTGCCATACAACGATCTATAGAGTTGATTATAGGCTTGTCATGTGAATAAATGTCTAAATAATAATTTTTATAACATTTGAGGCCAAAATAAAAACCTGCAACAGGCATAATTAGCTCTTAAATAATGCATCTTTAATAGAATAAGACAAAGGTTAACTATTTTAATCATCTACATAAAAATCTAAAATCAAGAACTACACTTACCCTAAAACTTACATCAATAAATCAGAATACATTGTTATAATCAAACGTTACTTATACTAGTATTTCGCTTTTACTAATGAAGCAGATTTTTTAACAAAAATTTCTTTTTGCGTCCAGTATAAATTCTAATTATAATAACATCTAATTATTTTCATCTTCATTATTTATATCGTCATTCCAATCAAACCTTCTATCCAACATTTTAAAAAACTTTTCATTAAAAGGATGGAAAAACTCTTTTAATTTATTGACAATCCATGGCTGTATGTCTGGATGTTTTCTTCCTTTTGATCGTGATAAACATTTTTCAGACTGGTCCTCATTTCTGATGCAATAAAATCCTCTGGTCTGATTAAAAATAAATTTATCCTTATTAACTACATGCCCTATATTCAAAAACGACTCCACTTTGTGAATTTCTCTCCACGGTGCTTTTGATAATTTGTCACCATCCACGATTATAATTTGGTCCATGGAAAAATATCGCAGCCACTTTTGTAAATGTCTGCAGTATATTGATCTCCGAACAGCATTATACGAACGGTTGATTTCACCTGTTTCAGGGTCAATCACTAAACTTTCGAAAGGTATTATTGGTTTTTGCCGTAAAACTTTGTTTTCTCGAAACTGAGCATAATCAGAAATTGTTCGCAGCACAGGATCTTTAACGATGAGAATTAACTTGATTGAGCTGTTCATCATATAGACACGCTCTGGAGCAACACTTTCAACAAGATAGGACGGTGTTTTTTCGATAGTGATCTGATTTTTAAATGAGTATGGCATACGTTTCCTGTACCAATCATAACCAAGTTGATAATTGTCATCATCATCGAAGAAATGAAGTTCCCGACCCACTGCTTGTATGTCAGGATGAATGTTTAAGAAGGATAATAGGGCTCGCGTCCCTGCCTTGCGAGCTCCAATGATTAGACACTGAGGTATTCGACGTTTTGTATGAGGCAGATGAAGATGTTCTTGTTTATTCCCAGATATATTACCGCCCTTTAAAATGCATGTTGATGATTGATACAGATGAAATGATTTGGCTAAAACAACAAATATAATTGCCAGGATGACGATAGAAACGATGGCCACTATTTTGTAGCGAGTAAGTTTTGGACAGGTTCGTTTGCCCCGGTTGTTGCCATCGTTTTGTTCTGTGGGTATTATGTGATATTTAACACTACTTCTACTTGGACTCATCTTGATTTACCTGTAATATATAAAATATAAAAAGTTAATCAATTAACCATCTCCAGTATAGTCAGCACAATACTTAAACAAACAATCTAGATTGCCAGTTCTATAATTTTTTATCTTTAGTTTTTGAATTTTATCTGTTTCATTCTGATATTTTATTGTTCACTGAGTTCACTCGCTCAAGATGGGTTGAGGCAGTGGTGGACAATAGACATGTCTCAACCAAAAATAGGCACAGGTTTGTCAGGTTGGCCGTGCTACATATAAATCTAAAATCATCGTAAACAGATAAAGTTCTAAAAAGTCTATAGTATTATGAAATCTGTACTAAGCTTTAAAATTAAAGATACATTATGGAAGATTAGATAAAGCGCTGGCAGTTCTCACTATAATAGTTAAAAACTAGATAATGTAATGTGGCTGAAAATTTCAGTCAAATTGCTTAACTCTGAACCAAAATATTTGCGATAGAATTTTAGGCCTAGCCTCGGTCATCATTACTGAGCGTTGAGCAGCAAATCAGATTCAAATCCAGTGAAAATCTGACACATAAGATGCCATTGAGAGTTGATTACAGTCTTTTTTATTAATTAATGTCTAATTTAATTAATAATTTATATAACATTTAAGGCCCAAAGAAAGACCTGCAATAGGCAGATTATGTATGTTAAATGTTTGAATATCCAAAACTTCTGAGATTTGACACGGTTCTTTCTTATGCAACAATGAACAAGTTTTATTATTACCATTGCAAACCGTGCATGGGAAGAAAATCACATTTGAAACTTGAGATTCAAAAATTCTGAAATATCGGATTCCTTTTTATGCCACAAAGAGTAACCTCACTTAGTTTTAAAACAAAATTTCAAGAAATCTCTCCTGTATCACATTAACAAAATTTCAAAAAATTTGACATAAACAGGGAGATGCAAATTTAGATAAGGTTCTTACTTTGGCCCAAATAATAAATATCGCATTCACAAAATTTGAAAGTAAAAATATGAATTGGAATATAAATCTATGAAGATTATTTTGAAATTTGATAGGGTTCTTCCTAAACCTCTAATGAACAATCCCACCAAGTTTTAAAACAGTCCATCAAAAACTTATTTCAACAGTGTTCTTTATTACAAACAAGTGGAGGGGATCACTTGGCTAAGTGGGTAAGATGCTGGCTTGCTAGCCTGGAGGTCGGGTGTTCGATCCCTGCATTGGCCAAGAAAGTTCATTCAGATTTTCCGGCGTGGTTCCCCCTTGTCAGTGATGCAGGACGGAGGGCCTGACAAGGACAGCTATCTAGTCCTTCGGATGAGACGGAAAACTGAGGTCCCGTGTATACATTGGAATGCACGTAAAAGATCCCTTGGCAGTTGGAATTCGATATAAGAGTAGGCGATAGTGCCGCTGCCCGAGCAAAATTTCCTTCATAGCACACTGTGTGGCATATGCCCGTCTTCATTAGCCCAGGTTAGGAGCAGAACAGTAGGAATTTAAACCCCATTTCATTTACAAACAAGTGAATCCTGTGTCTTTGAAAAACATCTGACTAGAACTGTAATCTGTACAGTCTTGAAAAGTTTGTTATCCATAATATATATATATATATATATATATATATATAATGTAATGTTTTACTTCAAGACCAATATTTCTTCCAGCACCTGTTAAACAATTCTTTGCCTCAAGAGTTACTGTTCACAACTATGACCTCCACCTGGAAGTATGTAACATGTGATGTGACCATGATTGTCACTTGCCCACCAACATCCCAACAGTTTGGTCAAAATGTTTGTCCTCTCTAACAAGGCAGTGTTAAACAGGTAAGACATACTTCATACCATACCTGTCATGAAAAAGTTGATGAAGGGAACTAAATCAGAATTTTGTTTTACGGAAAATGAGGTCCTTTCAAAACGAGATAGTAAAATGTCTCTTGGAAACTGTTCAGACAAACGCTGTTCTTGAAGAGATGTTTGAAATTTTGGGCTTTTATTTAAAAACACTGTTGAACAGAAGAATGTTGTATTTCTTGCTTATGCTGATTGCTGCTATTCAGGTAAACTGATTTGTATTGTTTTGATTTCCATATTTCTTTTTCACACTTCACAAAAACAATTGCCAATAGAAGTCAAATACGCTTACACATGCTCTCTACCACAATGAACAGCTATGGTGTGGTTTTTGAGCTAAGACTAGAACAATTTGTCCAGCGTGTTTAATCAGAGTGGGCATAGGTTGTATTCAGGTAGGAATCTTTAAAGTTTTATTCAGGGAAATGAAGACACATAGTTTTATGGTGTATACGTGCTAAATAAAATTCAAATTTGGTTTCCCCCCTTTTTCAATGGTGTGCAGGCGGGTGGTTTGAAATTACAAATTCACCCCTCCACAAAGGTTTCACACAACCTACAATGGACCAACCACTAATCATCCACACATTATTGTCATCTACTGGTTTTTTTTATCCCCACCAGTCAATATTTCTTGAAGTACCTGCTAAATATTTCTTTTCCTCAAGAGCTACTGTGATCCAATGGAATGGGTTAAAAAATATTTGTTCAGGTTCAACAGCTTATAATTAATTGGGAGCACAGAAAAGAGACTTAATTAAACAGTAGTATAACCCATTTTAACAAAATCATACACATAGCTTTGCTTATAACATCAACCAAAAATACTGCCTTCCAAAATTTCATGCTTCTGAAGCAAGTGCATAAAGATGTTGTTTACTTGTTATAATTGAATTCTCTGAAATCTTATTGCAATTTGGATATCTGGTATATCTTGTGACAGAAAAAAGCAACCTGTATAATATTTCATAACATGTTCATGCTTTACAATAAAACTTCCATGCATATTGGTAAATGACAAAAACTTTGGCACAAAATCATAATATTAACATAAATGTTTATCTAATCATGTTGTAAAAAAAGGTATAACACATATGAATAAACATGAGAATGCAAATGTAGACTTGTAAAGAAATACTTAGTCCTAGTACTTATTACAAGAGTGTTGACTTTTCTTAAAGAAATTAACAATAAATTTGTCATCAGCTCTGTGCTATGAACTTATGAAGTACTTAAAAACATCAGCAATATTGAAGTTGAAAGGGTATAATAATATGTTATATGGAGTATTTTGTCATTAATATGTCCATGGGAAACTCTTGTCAAATAATCTAGAATATAGATATTATTTTGACAGCTGGCATTTCCATTTTATCCCAATTTTAAGTGCTTTGACAGAACTAGGAAAAGATGATATGATACTGTTAAAAAAAAGCAACAAGCCTTTATAAGTGTTATCAGTCATATTCGTTGGGAATATTCTTTAATATAGGGTATATTTATATCAAAGCAACAATATTCTATAGAGAGTATATATGTGTGTGTAATAGAAACATCATGTTGTTTACATGTTACTGAAGGCAGAAAGAAGGAGGGGCACACTTTCTTTATTTCACATTCACAGAACAAAAAATATGCCTTCTAAAACCAGTCCAGATAATATTTTCAAATATCACACACAAATCTAAGTACAAATTCTTCTAGAAACACACCTACTAGCAGCTTTTATAAGACTAAAGGCCTGTACTGAAAATAATGATGCTACTTTTATTCAAGAACTTGACACTATAGTTAGAGTACAATGGTACCATATACATCTGTTAATCAACAATCATAAGTCAAAGGGCAATATAAAAGGAAGTACTTTCTGAAAACAATCAAAATCAATCAGAATCATCAATGCTAACTATTCCAGTATAAAAATGTGGGTGTATAGAAAGAAAGTACATACCTGTAGCAGTAGTCCGACCACAGGCCATTATTACACAAAAAACATGATTCTGACAAGTTGCCATCATCAATGCTTATTTCCAAAGCATTAAAGTATTGACAACAAAGTTATAAACCGCTACAAATTTATATAATTCAAAGGGATGGCTATTATTTTTGTTATTTCATTTTGATTCAGGATACAGAAACACTAAGCAAATGTATTAATTAGCTCTCCATATACAGTCAGTAGAACAATAAATATCATGAACCAACATGGTGGGTCTCAACAGGTAAATCATTCATGCTACACATCTACCTACCTCTAAATTAGTCTGATCTTAGCATTCATAACTTTATATTTCATCTATGTATTAAATTCATATATCTGTAGTTATTAAATCATACTGTACACAGTACTAATGTAAAAGTACAACAGAATACATTTGTGATAACCCAGTTTTCTGTTAGCCAATAAATTTCTTGTTAGCACAATAAACATTAATATCCTAATATATATAATGTATCAATCTCTATGTCTGTAGCCAGCAGCAAAGATGGAGTAATGATGTTAATCTCTGACTCTATCCTAGATCTACTTGTCATTTCTCATATATTAACCATTATTATGCCATTTATTATTAGCAGAAGGTTGTTACAAACTGATTCATATACTTTAAAAGGTATGAAAGTTTGACAATTGCCTCTATAAATCACAGCGAACAACATTATAATCTGGTAATTCTTTTTTCTGCTTGGTGAAACAAAAGTCATCTCAATTAAAAATTATCCAGGTGGACTCTATACAGACACCCATTGTCTTAATCAATAGGTTTTAAATTACTATTTCACAGATCATTTGTTTTCCTTGAGTAATATTACCAAAATGTAGTTAATATAATATAGTAGTCATATGATCATGATCATTGTGGATTAAAATATATTCCCTCAAGGATACTTTAGGTCATGCAGTGCAACCTGAAAACTTATTTTTAACATAAAATATGATATTTCTTATTACCAAGGAACTTTAAATTATAGAAAAGCCCAGTAGTATAGTTAAGGAACTCTGTGGGCAATGACCACAGTCGCCCACCTTCGACTACAACCCTGTTATACACTAAAAGCGATTATAAATAGTAAAGTAACAAAAAAATAAGAATAAAATATTTTAATATAAAGCACAAGTCTGGCAGATGACTATTCAATAACACCAGGAGATAAAACTATGGCGTGCCTACTGTACTTTTCAACTATTTCTAAAGCGGTGGACACACTTACTGACCAAATTATTCGGTGCCAAATTGCAGCCGAATGAGTAGACACATCGGGGGCGTGCTAGCGCCACTGGTAGGGAGGTCTGAGGAGGTTCTCCCCCCCAGGAAACGCGTTTTGCAAGCACTTCTGGGAGAAATCTAGGTATCATATTTTCCAAATTTATGCTGCTATTTTGACTATAAGACATACTACTGTACTACACAAGACAGGTCTGCTTAATATAATGCTAACAGGGGCGGATCTAGGAATTTTGAAAAGGGGGGGCGCTGCAAAATGAAGGCATTGACCGCGGAGACGGGGCACGCCGCTGAGGGGGGGGGGGGGGGGAGGTCCCCAAGAAAATTATCCGTCATTTCCTTGCATTTGTAGCCAATCCAAGAGCTATTTCCCAGACTGGTGTGTTTGAGTCGATGGTTTGAATCATTTGGGATCCCTACAACGGGTTGGGAACGGACATATTTGAGTCTGACAAAAGGCACTTTCAGCAGTTAAAAAGGGCACTGTCGAAAATTAGGGGGGGGGGGGGGTGCCCTCGCGCCCCCCATTGAATCCGCCTCTGGCTAATACAATGTATTTCTATCCAAATAATAAATTGCATCTTATACATATCGAGGCATGAATACATGTATCAAAGACCATTTCACCTTAAGGTGACAGACATTTGCACGTCAGCATAATATATTTTACTAATCGTTGTGTATGTATGATTTTTCGCGTGCGCACTCTCAATTTTTTGAGGTGATTCCGCGTGAAAATTAGAGCTCTCAGGAGGGCCCGCTTATACGGGTGGACTTATTGTTTAATGGGGGCCTGGTAGGACACTGTCCTCCTAAACTCCCTGCCAGCACGCCCCTGAGAAACATTAGGCGAATTCTCCGCCCAGTTCACCAGTCGATTGCCTCACCTTTCACGTCACATGATTAAACATGACAGCGACCATGTATTTAAACATTCATGCGACATCTCAACATCAGTGGTGATTAGATAATAAATTCTACAATCGGGTGAATGCTTTGATATAAGTTAATTTCCTATACAACAAGAGCTCTTATTCCTATCATGGCAGTTGACTGACTTAATATTCTCAAATACAGATATTACAAAAGGATCTAATCAACTGATCACGATAAGATAACATCTTTATAATGATACTGTCAATACATTTCTATTTTCATCTATTATTAACCTACATAAATGCCAGGATCAGTTCTCACGTATGATGAGTTTCCTTTGTATTCATAGCTATTAATGTATAACATTATGTTCAGGCCCCCAAAACATAATCTTGGCGCAAGATGATTGAGAATACCGGTATGTATGTATGTTTACTATATTCAGATTTTTAAGTGGTCAAAAGTTTAATAGAACTTATGGACCAGCATACTACTACAGCTTTCATTTAAATATAAAAGAAAGTAAATAGTGTACCATTCATGGCACATAATGTATTTTAAAAAGAAACATTGCCTCATTTTCTAAATATAAAAAATTAAATAAGATTTCAGTCATTATTAATTACATTCAAATCATGATGTTTCAACTACAAAGTAGTTTTACCATTTCACCTCTAAATATAGTTTATCACCATTTTTGCAATTAAATAGTTTCACTTAATTGATTCCTCCTACACATGTCTATCAAATTATTCATGTTTGTTACTAAAATGCTGTAAATAAACAAATTTATATCTAGATTGCATAGTCTAAATAAAAAAAATCCAACAAAACACACATACCTTAAATTCTACAAAATACGGCAATAATGCATAACAATCTGACACACTCACTTATTTTAATCTGTGAGTGAGAGTCAAGTATTATATGTTCAGGCCAGACACAAGGTATTTTTCTATTGATTACTTCTCTATGCATTAGAAAAAGAACAATAAACCATGAACGTGGAATGGAGTTGACAGGCAATATAGACTTGATATATTGATTCAAATATTTTCATTATTATTATTATTATTATTATAGGTCAAGAGATGATGTTTGCAGAGTTAGTAAAAGCCAACAGTTCTTATACACTATGATGATGAACCAAACATATTTTCCATCATCTATGCAGTTTTATTATGCTCAACATATTCCATAAATAATTTTTGAACAACTGTTTTTAATTAAGAATCAATAAACTGATGAACAATGTTGCCTACAAATATGATGCTAATTTATAAGGGGGCAGAGTTAAAGTAGCTAAGTCTCTAACTCAATATCATCCAAAGTATTCGACATTGAAAACACGAATTATTTGTCAATTTAAATCAACATTGATGTTGTGATCTTACAGGGAAAAGATGGGCTTCTGATATCCAATATTTAAGACAAACATTTTACCATTGATACACGAATCTTAACCATAATGTATTTCAGTGCCATTTGTAACAAGGGAATCAAAGAATGAGGCTAGACATATTTCATGATCATGTCAAACGGTGAAGTCATATTCTTATCTGGAGAGCATTTGCAATAAATACTATCGGTGTAGACTTGAATAACCAGACGCTAGAGATTGCCATTCAATTTGAAATTAAGAGTAAAAATGGAAACAATTAAATGTAAATCAGTTTATATACATTCATATTACATTATTATATGCGTCGCGACCCATTTGTGTCAATTTCAAGGTCCCAAATATTAGCGACTTAGCTCCTTTAAGACTAACTTTGGGTCTTGGACTTTTGGCTATAATCAATACCATTTATTGCTAACCAAATCTGTTGATTCCAGGTATAACATTTTTACGACCACACAGATCTACCATAGAACATACAATCATAATGTTAAGTTGGTTTTCCCCAGAGTTCACTGAATATTGTCTGGGAGTTAATAATAAAGGAGAAATGTGTTTCTTTTCCAGATAAACAATTAAATGCACTAAAATGTCACTTATTTATCATAATAATTACCAGTGGGAACCTGGTTTGAAAATGGTCCATAATAGTCTGTGATAGCTTGGAAATCCCTATTTTATTTTTGTCAAATACAATTAAACTCAGTTGTCAGTCGTATAATTGTCTTTTTATGTGTTATTTGATTTTGTGAGATGAAAATCTGTCTTTTGTTTAAAATTTTACATCACTATACAAAGCCACATTGACGTTGAGATATACATGTAGTGTAGTGAAAATAAAATTTCCATTTAATCTATTGCCACCAAATTTTAATCATATAGAGCTTGTATAATCACTAATCCAAACAACTCATTAAATCAAAGAATTCGACATACACAATACATCCAAAACACCATCGCTTATATACCAAAATAAAAAGATGAAAAGTATGTGAGCCAATAACAGTCATAATAATACCATACGGTCCATGATAAAACCAAACAAAAGTACTCACTATTTAATTGCAGGAAGATATCCAGCCATAACACCATAATACCCCATTCATAAGAAAATACCAACCATAGGAATGAACATATCTTGTCTATTAGTGCCACTATGAAGCCATGTGGTTTTTACCAACCAGACTACAACTGTCAATGTATATATAATCTTGTACATAAATCTTACAACCCACCAACTATTGCCTCTCTCATATAAAATCGAAAAATGGTTCTCTGTAATTTTATATCTGACAAGCCATGGTTGCCTCACACATCACAGATAAATAAAGCAATATTTCTTCTACAGATGGCACAAAATAAACACCTTCAAAATGTCCTATTCAATTTCTTGTCTACATATTTTATGAGTGACTAGAATCTATATTTTTTATTTAAAGTATAACCGATGGATTTTTAGAAATTTACTAACAAGTTGCAGAACTAGTTATAAAATTATGACATTACCTACATATTTTCTTCAAGTAATTGATCCCATTAGTACATTAGTTATCTAATTTTTCATGGCTTAATCCACCTTAAATTGATTATATTTATTAACACTTAAAATACAGATGTGACATCACCCTTTGATGTTGGTGTGCCATTATTTCAAATAATCGTATGTGCAACTTGCCAATCGTACATTATTTATATTAGTGAAATATTGGACTCGTGTGACGTATTTCATTATAAAAGAAGATGCAGAGTGTCTATATTTTAAGTCGTTTAATGGTCTCGAGCTTAAGACATTGCGTAATATATTGTAAAAAAACTCAGGCCCACGGCCATCTTGTTGTTACAATATATTACTTAATGTCTCGCTCTCGACCATTTCACAATATTTAATTATGAAAACAGACCAAAATATCAATGGCATATAATCTTCCGGCTGTGATTCAATTAGATAAAAAAAGAGACCTTTGATTGATTTCAAATGTTGAAAAATTTTCAACTGCTTATACATCTTTGTAAATACTTACAAAAATCAACAATTTTAGGACTGATTTTCCTTTAACAGGTTCAACTTTCACAGTTTCAAAATCCCTCAAATGACAATCAATAGGCTTTTTATATACAGATGTTCCAGCTCAGTCTTTATACAGATAAAACTGAATAGAAAAGCTATTCAATATACATTGAACATATTTCACTCATTTTATTGTAACAGCAAGATCTGAACCCTTCATGGTTAATTTCATTGTTTTTTCGAAATATTTTAGTGTACAACAAGGTACATGGTATTTTAAAACCAGTGACATCTAAATACTGATAAACATACAAATACCTAATTCACTTTGCTAGCATTAGATGTTCAACTAGTTAGATAAGGAGACAATTTCTACTGATATAATCTAATATAGCCAGTGAATAATTAAATTAGAGATCTGTATTTTTTTTTTATTCCTTTTAATCAAGGAAAAGGTTTTAGATAAATTTCATTGATACACCGCTATTTTTTCCCCATCATTCAAAATAAAATATCCATTTGATTAAGGATCGTTAAATCATTCCACATGCAGATTTATATGATCAAATTATAGGCCTTTCAAATCAACTATTAAAACTGTGTAATACTTCACATTTATCAAAATATTCCTATATACGAGTTACCTAAATGATCATTGTTAAAAAATGTTAGCATTATAAATTAACATAGTCTTTGCAAACTACAATATTGTGATTTTTGAATCTTTATAAAGAATATCAGTCCAAAAATGGTTCAATTCTGTTCAGTATTTACACACTACAAAAAGACATAATGAATTCAAAATTTGGTATCTTCAGCCAGCGTGACATATAATATTGGCTAAAACCTTTTGACAGGCCTCTTTCTAATAGGACTGAATTGAAACCAGGATGCTATTTACCATGGATATTTGGATTTTGTTTTGTTAATTAAATGTTAAATAATTAATCTGAGTGGCCTACATTTTAACATGGATTCTTTGTACAATCAGGGGTCATAATCCAGGAAGTTATAGTCCGATATGTGCCAATATCAAATGGAACCGAAATCTTTGGGTTACAAACATAAATTTTAAGTTCCATCAAAATCAGATAAAAATTGTGACCACTAGTGTGTACGCAAATTAACAACATGACATTTTGTACAATCAGGGATCATAATCCGCTATACATCAATATCGAAAGGAACAAAGATCTTTGGGATATAATGTGGCCATATAAAAATGCAATTCACGCAGAGACTGTAACACAGTTCCGCAAGTTTTTTGTCTCCTGAAAAGTTTGAAAAACTTAAGATAAGCACTTCTGCAGCTGCACCAAAGATTATGAAAACCTTTTAGACCTAGCGATTACCACTTAAATGTCTATCAACTCTATGATAAAAGACAGGTTGCCAGGCAACAAAACGCCCACAGCAGGTAAGTCGTCATAGTGTTGTTGCATATTTTTTCTTTTGTCAGTAATGAGAACATTTACAACACATGAAAATCTGATTATGAGTAATAACCCATGAGTAATTATCCGAAAACATTAGAATGTGTTTCGATTGTTTGTCTCACGACCATAAACAATTTATATTAACTTATATTTAATCGGATATTAACTTTAGCCTCTATAGAGTATCCACAAGATATTTCAAAGCGATCAATAGACTCCTTCGTCTTATGACCTTAAACACTGTGTATAAATTTGAAGTCAATCGGATATTAACTTTAGCCTCTAGAGCATCCACAAGATTGTTCAAAAAGTGATACATAACTCTCGCAGTAAATATCGGAAATTGCTGCAAATCAATATGCTTCTTTGTCTCATGACCTTAAACACTGTGTATAAATTTAAAGGCAATCGGATATTAACTTTAGCCTCTAGAGTGTCCACAAGCAATTGTGAACGCCGAATCGACAGGCGGGTGGACGGGGGCAACTACAGTATACGACCACATTTCAATGAAAATTGATATACACTCTGAATAGTCTTACCTCAATCCTCGACCAACTTATAATACATGTATATCCTGACAAACAAATATAAATGAACAACTATTATTGGTTGCATACTTTATAAGTAACAAGACTACATGAAACCATCAAGGCCTGGAGAGTATTAGAAAATCATCAAAGACCCTATGTTATAGAGGATCTCGATGTACCTACCATTGTAACTAATAATTTAACAAGATAATTAATTTCTTGTCTTAGATGTACATGGGTATACCTATCTATTATTTATTGTTATTAAATATCTCTGACATCTGTATGCTATTATTCTACACCTTCTCCTCCATGTCAATCATTATATACTTACTACAGCTGCAGGCAAAATCTTTTTAATTAGTGCAGACCTTGCAGAATGTAAACTTGTATACTACATGTATTTCAAATTTACACCATGACATACTCACACAGCGTGCAGAGAGATACGATTACATAGAAGAAAGAGAATTAAAACATTAAATTTTAAAAGATGACAGCCCTGTGTTCTAAAACTGCATCAAAATCTAATTTGATATCACTTTCAAAAAACTTATACTTCAACTAAATAGAATTATATTAAGTATTAAGAGATGACTCAACATGTCTTGGTTGCAATTTTACATTTTTCATTGTCTTACACACTCCGTAATTAAATTGAATAGAATTCCAGCACATTGCGGTAAATACTTCACAAATATGTGTAAAATGTTAAGAAGTTTCAACTCCTCTCTATTAAATGAAGTTCTAAAGATTCGAAGAATATAGAATTAACTTCTTTGTTATACATAATTTCAATATATAAGTTTAAAGTATTGTGTATGCCAGTAAAAATCAATGTATAATTAAATGTGATTACAAGACAAAGGCGATGCAAATGCACCAATCTAAATTTTTATAGCATTCCACATTCCCAATAACTGCTAGATTGAAAACAGAAATCTGAAAAATTGCATAGCGTATAGAGAATTTAAATATTTTGTGGACAAGAGCAGTTACTCTGCATAACATACTTCAAAGTTTTTAAAAAAATTGGTTGCCAGGCAACAAACTTCATTACACTAACATACGCAAAACAAGTATCTGTAATCAGATAACTTTAACTGTTCAGAAAACATTGAAGAAAATCATTAGGTTTTGTTTCACGAACAGATAAACACTATATATACTATTCAAAAAAAGTAGGGGATATTTGATTTTGGGGGCATAATACTAAAATATGCAAATGACTACGAAAAAAGTCACTATAGAACCTAACAGAAGAAACATTTCCAGTTACATGTGACGCCCAAACGCACCAATAGCTACCGCATGGAATGCAGGTGATGCTTGTGATCATCATGGGGGTCCAACCCAAGATTTGCACGACTCTGACTTTGAATGTTACAGTCATTGTGGCATTGAATTCCAGGGTGGAAACATCAGTTTAATTGTTTTAGTGACCAGAAAACAAATTTTGATATGCGTCGGCTTACCCAAAATGAAAGGTTACGTGCCCTTGGCATGCTACAGATCGGCACAACACAGGCGGTTGTGGCGCGG